GACCTCGTGCATAATGAAGTGCTACTAACACAGGCTATTTATTTACTAACATCAATTGTATATTGTAGTATTTATGTTTGTCTGTAAGGTCTTATCTGTGGGTCATAGTTGCCTGAAAAGAAAGTTTAAATAATAAATAAACAGTTTGGTAGAAACAACTTCGAGAACAAGTGAGCCGGTCACATTTGTCGAAGAACCGTTGACCGCTGAGGTAGAAATGTTCTGGAGTGGAGACCGCGTCTAGGCAAACGTAGTGTAGGGCGCCCTCCAGCTAGGTGGAGTGACGATATACGTAAAGTGGCTGGTAGTGGTTGGATGCGTAGAGCTGAAGACCGAGCTGGGTGGCGTGCCATTGGAGAGACTTATGTCCAGCAGTTGACGAAAACATTCTGATGATGAATAAATAAACAGCATGAAAATCCGTCACATAGTGTTAAAGATGTAGGCGTACCGCAGAATTGTTACATTTATGAAGTATACATACGGACAGACAGCAGGAACCTTGTATAATACTTTGTTTTATACAAGGGGCAGATTTTTAGGTAGGGTACGAATTTGAAATCAGCTATAAAACCAAAACTAACGACTTATGTGTATCGAATGAATTTCCATACCATTACTGTGTGGTGTCAGGTTCACCCCACTCACAAAATATAATCAGCTTCACACATGTCTGTGTGTGTGCACATAGTGCACATCTGTCGACTTCAGGCCAAACTGATTGCTATAATACAGACAGACGGACAGTTTTGTGAATAGATGCCGTTTAGTAGATATTGCCACGCCTAATTAGATGTCCAAATTGAATTCAGAACCAATAATTCTATAGTGAAGTTTGCCCTTCAATTTTTTTGAAGTGGTTATTTATTGTGTTCAGTTAAGGACATTTTAATTTCTACCATAACACACGACGTATTTATGCTGCACCTATACCACAGCCGTGAGAAAAAGAGGGCCATTGAAATTTTAGTTCATTCTTCTCGATATTTCTTGATTTTCATTTTGGAACGAGCAACTACCAATACTGCAGAAGTAAGTAACATAAATGGAGACAGATATGATATCTGCCATTTTTGTTTTAATTCAAGAAATTGATAAAGTTTCATATTCACACAATAATGTTTTCCCAATTTATACAGCTTCACACGAAAGAAACGAAGTTTAGTTTTTGCCAACAACACAGTTTTCTAAGATAAAAATAACATTTAGTTTTTGCGCTACCAGTGTGAGCGCGTCCCAAGCGGCTCGATTGACAAGTGATTACCGGCGGGGGATCGATCGCGTCAGGGTCACCGCGAATCAAGACTGCGCCAGCCCTAGCCGCGCTGACTGACAACCCTACAGTACTCCCTGATTGTAACGATATCATTTTATTACCGGCTGTATCGGTTCGCAATTTGAGGACAGTTTTTGGTGATTTTTGTAGAATATGATGCACAATCAAAGACGGTTTAAACGAGACTGATTTATTATGCGTTTACCCACATTACCATAAGATATTACATTTCCTCCCTCACGAGAAATTAATGTACAAAAAGAATGTAAGTTAAACGAAAAATAAACTGCTGCTTATATTCGTTATTTTTGTTATGTATATTTAATTTTCTCGGTTTACTATTGACCCAATCCCCGGAAATAGACTCATGTACAACGGATTCGTTATTTTTGTTATGTATATTTAATTTTCTCGGTTTACTATTGACCCAATCCCCGGAAATAGACTCATGTACAACGGGCGATTCATGTGAGGTTTCAAGTGACGAAGTCGCTGGTGAATTCGGTGATGACTCAAAGTCCTCGGGATCGTTGTTAACGGTACGACTATCGGCGTCTGTGATAATAGGATTAGAGGACCGTGTAAGTTTCCGTAAAGGCATAATTTGATCTATGTGTTTTCGATATTCCCCGTTATCCGTAGTTACCTTATATGTTACAGCTCCAGTACGCTCCGAGACCTGTCCTTCCATCCACTTGGGATTGTTTCTCGAGTAATCTCGGAACAATATTCGTTCTCCAGGTTGGACCTCTCTGTGCATACCTCTAGCATGTTCGACTTGTTTGGCCTGTGCCGCTTCGACCGCATCTGTAGGGTTGGCACGCAACAGATCTAAGCGCATACGCAGCCTCCGCCCCAACAGTGCTACGGCTGGCTCACGTTGGGTGCTTGAATGTGTGCTATTTCTATATACCAAAAGGAAGTTGTTAATTGCTCGATCAATGTTCTGACCTTCAGAAACCGGCTTTTTGATGACTTTCTTAACTGTCCTTCACAGCGTTTTTCGGCGGCACCGTTACTTGAGGGATGATAGGGAGCTATTAGAATATGCTTAATCCCATTCCGGGTTAAAAACAACTCGAATTCCTTAGATTGAAATGGCGGTCCCCCGTCACTTACCAAAGATTTAGGAAGCCCAAATCGGCTGAAGCATTCTCTCAATCTGTTTGATACTAACTGAGCCGATGTACCAGTCCCCATTAAAAACACTTCGATCCACTTGGAGTGAGAGTCAAGTATCAAAAAGTAGTATTTACCTTGGTACTGTAGAAAATCCACATGTAGCCTCGTCCAAGGTTCTGAAGGCCATACAAACGGTACAGGAGTGTGTTTCGGCGGCGCGTCCAACTGCAAGCGGCAGGCGACGCAGGCGGCGGCGCGCGCCTCAATGTCGCTATCGAGACGCGGCCACCACACGTAGCTGCGTGCAATGCTCTTCATGCGCACGACGCCCACGTGCCCCGTGTGCACTTCCTCCAGGATTTGTGCACGCAGGCGTTCCGGCACCACTATCCTGTATCCCCAAACTATACACCCGTGATCTATTTGTAAATTTTCACGACGGTGATAATATGATTTCATCTCTTCCACATCGCCTATAAGCGGCCAACCACTCATTATGTAACCGTATACTTTACATAAAATTTTATCTTCTTTAGTCGCTTGTGGTATGTCCTTGTGACTAAGAGGAAAACTATCCTCAACGAAATGAAGATATGCTGCGTCGTTGGGATCTTCCAACTTAGTTTTTGTTAAATGTAATCGTGATAACCCATCAGCGTTACTATTCTGTTCCGAGTTTACGAATACTATATTGAAATCGTAAGCTGCAAGCCGAACCGCGTATCTTTGCAAGCGACTCGCTGCCGTTTGCGGTATTCCCTTTTTAGGACCGAATATGTAGCTTAAAGCTTTGTGATCGCTCTTAAGTGTAAAATGCCTACCAAAAAGATATTGATGGTGTCTAGTGACTCCGTACACAATGGCTAGCGCCTCCTTATCCACTTGACTATATTCTCTCGGCGTCATTAAGTGTGCGCGAGGCGCAACACACAAGACGCTCGCTACCGTCAGGGTGGCGCTGCGAAAGCACGGCGCCCAGGCCGTAAGCACTGCTGTCTACTGCCAGCACCAGCGGCAGTTTCGGAGAGTAGTGCGCCAGCACCGGGTCACTTGTCAATCGCATCTTGATCTCCTCAAATGCAGCATTACAGCTCTGTGACCACACCCATCTAACACTCTTTTTTAAAAGGGCGTGTAGTGGATGTAGAATCGTACTTAAGTTGGGTATAAACCGTGCATAATAATTAATGAAACCTAATAAAGCTCGTAATTGAGATACGTTTTCGGGGATAGGCATTTTTAATATGGCACTAACTTTTGATGTGTCCGTGTAAAGACCATGTTTGGTTATTCGATATCCCAGGTAACAAACCTCATCCCTTAGAAATTCACACTTAGAAAACTTTATCGTTAATCCGGCTTCTCTGAGTCTAGACAACACTTTCTTTAAGTTTTCCAAATGATGAGATTTGTTCCTGCCACTCACACAAATATCGTCAATAAATGCTACCACATATTCAAGACCGCTTAATGTTTCGGAAACAATTTTCTGAAAATTTTCAGGTAGACACTTAAGTCCAAAAGGAGCCCTGCGATAAACAAACGTCCCTACATGCGTAGTGATCGCTGTGAGCGGTTGCGAATTTTCAGATAACTCAAGTTGCATAAATGCGTTTTTTAAGTCTAATTTAGTATATTGCTCCCCACCACTTAGCGCTGCAAACATTTCTTCAATTTTTGGCAATGGAAAATGAACATCTTTTAACAATTTATTAACCGTCACTTTATAATCGCCACATAAACGAATAGAACCATCCGGTTTGATTATTGGCACAATTGGAGTTCCGTAATCAGATCTATCAACCTTGTAAATTATACCTTCATCTTGTAAGCGTTTAAGTTCATTTTCCACTGGCTCGCGCAATGCAAGTGGGAGGGGGCGTGACTTGCAAAATATCGGCGTGTTATCCGTTAAATATAGTGTTAATTTATGTTTATAAGTACCAATTTTATCAGTAAACACTTCTGGGAATTCTTGTTTTAATTCAATCACAAAGGGATCAACATCTTCTTTAAGATGAAATAAATTTAATGATTTTAATTTAAGTTCGCGCATCCAGGTGCGGCCGATAAGCGGAGGTCCGCCGTGCTCGATAATAAACAATGTGAGTACGGTATGCTTTGCTCCCGCACAGCTGACTCGCACAGATACTCGACCTAACGGAACTATTGCGTCACCTGTATACGACTTTAACTTAATGTTATCTTTTTCAATGGGTAAGGTAGAAAGATATTGATTATAAAAAAATTTAGATACCGCCGATATCTTGCTGCCCGTATCGATTTCAAATAACACTTTCATATTTTCCACAATTAGCTCACAATAATAGGGGCCGTCTTCAACATTTTGAACTGTCTCACCTTTAATAGTATACCATCCTTCAAACTCCTCACTTCCAGACTCTCCTGAGTCTGTTTCTATGAAGTTTTGATATTTAGAACTAGACCGACGCGCACTCACATTCTTGTTATCACATACGGACCTTAAGTGGCCCTTCACTTTGCACTTTTCACACACATACGACTTGTATCGGCACCTATGCGCTGCATGGCCAGCCCGGCCACAGCGCCAGCACCCTTCACGTCGCGGCGCCGCGTCGTCTCATCCGGCGGCGCTGGCCTGGTTGGCCACGCTCACCCGGTGCACGCGCTCGCCCGCGTCTGCCTGGAGTCCCGCCGGGCTGGCTGCTGCCCACAGCGCGGCCGGTGCCACGGCTTTAGCCGCGTGCTGCTCAGCCGCCTGCAGCGCCAGCGCCAGCCCAACCGCCTTCTTGTAGTCGAGAGTGGTCTCCGTAAATAGTCGAGATCGTATCTCTTCACTACGGAGACCCGACACGAATTGATCTCGCAGGTTCACTTCCAACTGGTTTTCGAAATTACAATGGGTAGCCAAGTGTTTCAAGTTTTGTAAAAACACCTTAATACTTTCACCTTCCTCCTGCCGCCGCTGACGGAACACGTGTCGTTCGGCTATTTCGGATCTTTTGGGTTCCAGGTGATTTTTTACAAGCTCCACTAAGGTGCTAAATGTTTTATCTTCCGGATTGTCTGGAGCACACAGATCGCAAATTAACCGGTAGGTCGACGCTCCAACGTGTGTCACCAACGTGGCCACGCGTAGGTTATCTTTTATATCGTTTAGTAAAATAAACTGTTCCACTAAACGCACATATGCTGGCCAGTTTTCACCACCGTCGAGATCAAAGATATGAATTTTCCCGATTGGCATTTTGATATTTTACTATTTTAAATAAAACTCGTCGCCACTGTAGAATATGATGCACAATCAAAGACGGTTTAAACGAGACTGATTTATTATGCGTTTACCCACATTACCATAAGATATTACAATTTTAAGCTGAATTTTTGCGGTTAAAATGTCTATTGCGGTATTGACAATTTCTTGAGGGGTACGTAAAATATCTTAATAACTGATTATGTTGTCAAACTGTATTTTTATGAAAAGCTAATTGATAATGATATATTGATTCGTCATTCGCCACGGTATACCGTACATTATGTAATTTTAGCCAATTGCGAAGCTTTGAAGATAACGAAATAACATTTTATTCTTAATCTCGTGTTTCTAATCTTTAAGGTCTCTCTCGAATTGAAAACCATCGACCAACCACCAAAACATCCCTAATTTGGAAATCGTAACTAGTACCACACTCTGCAGTAATTACCCCGGTAGATAATAAGCGTCGCCCTAATTCACAATTACTAATGATAACGACTACACAGCTAACAAAACGTGTTTGTGAACAAATCATGATAACGGACGCGTGTACGTGTCTGTATGAGCGGACACATGACCATTACAGGTCCCTAACCTACCCCCCGGTTCAACGCCTGGGTGTGCACAAATTGCATAGGTGTATTTGAGGGGAATAGCATACATCTGCATATTATATCATTGCAATTCACCTCCATTATTCGATGCTCATACTACAATTACTTTGACTGCTTGGTGCAGTGGCTGGGCAACCCGCTGCTGCGTAACGTGTAGCGAGTTCGATTCCCGCACGGAGCAACTCTTTGTGTGCTCCACAAATTGTTGTTCCGGGTCTGGGTGTCATCATGTGTATGTGAACGTTTTTTTTTAAGAAATTGGTACTTAACTGGTAGTACCCGGGCTCCGATAAGTATTACCTCCACCGGTAAATTAAAGTTTAGAAGGAAGACCGTCGGGTGACGTGCTTGACATTAAGTTTATCTATTTCAAAGTATTGACATTGGACTCACTAGAGAACGAGTCGGGACACAGTAGACCAGCTACTGGCGATTGCAATCAATACAAAAGTCATTGCGGGAGGTCTATGTTCAGCAGCGTCTTGTGCCTTGTCAGATGTTGAAATATGATGCATGAATACTGTACATCTTACTTCTTGCTAATATTATATTATTACTAGCTTTTACCCGCAGCTTCGCCCGCGTCACAAGGATAAAAAGTAGCCTATGTGACATATACCAATACACATAGCGCCACCAATTATTTTGTTTTCTCTCGGGAATATCAAATTTTTCCGGGATAAAAAGTAGCCCATTATTTAATCCGGACTTCTAACTTTACGTCTGCAAAATTTCAAAGCAATCGGTTTAGTAGTTACGGCGTGAAAGCGGAACCAACAAACAAACAAACTAACTCACTTTCCGATTTATAATATTATATAGTAATGATAAATGCGAAAGTTTGTGTTTTTCTATACTATGTTTGTTCCTCAATAACTTCAATACGGCTGAAGGGATCGCGTTAACATTTTCTGTAGTGATACACTGTCCATACAATTACAATAAAGTTTGCAGCAGTCGAATACAAACGTTAACCACGCTATGCTAGCAGGCTGTCCGACGAGTTGGGATAAAGAATACCAAGTTATGTGGCGCGCCACACGTGGAGGGGGGGGGGGGGGCTCGGGAATCGACACACTGCAGCCACGGACAGAAGTATAGAGTGAATGACGATGATCATTTGTTCTATACTTCTGTCATCAAATTGTTTCCATCCACTATTGATTACATTTTACGATGTTAGTCCAATAGCCACCTACACGATCTAGCTGGATGGAGGTTGTCCTTTTTTTATAGTATAAGCCGATAAACGAGCAGACAGATCACCTGATGGTAAGCAATCGGCGTCGCTCATGGACACCCGAAACACCAGAGGCGTTACAATTGTGTAGCCGAACTTTTGGTTATTACGAATTTGAGGATTGTTGGGGATTCGGGGATGGGAAGATTGGGTGATTGAGCCGGTAATTGAACTACATTTGCACACATAAAGGTACAGAATTAGTCTAATCTTTGTGAGAAGAGGCCTTTACTTACTTAGGCACTTATAGGTTGTTGGTGACGATGAAAGGTATCAACAGAATACATTAGAGAAGTTAAAATTGTTATCAATCTGGTTACAGTAGAACGAGCCATTCCGTTCGAAAACTTCTCGAAGATTTCCTTAAAGTGGATGTTCTGTATGTTCAGACTATTTGCAACATATGTGTGCGGCAAGTTAGCGTGTTACGTAAGTGTGAGTGTGTGTGTGTGTGTGTGCAAAGTAAGTTAATGTTAGGATGGCTATCAGATCGGGCGCGCTCCAAACGACCTCGTCTTTTGTTACAAACGATCACGAAAATGAACGAAAAGATTCCACTATTGCTGCGACCTCCGATTGTCTGTGAGGCAGTGTAAGGTCGGATCTAACAGGTACGAGGGGGGAGGGGGGAGGGGGAACAGTAGGCTCACTGAATATCTAAAGTTTTTGTTCGATTCTACCCACTGGTTAATCGTCATTGGGATTTCAAAATTATCTATAGCAATTATGTAAGATTTTATAGGATCACTTTCTATCACATCAAACTAATCAGATTATTATTAGCCAATAGAACCAGTATTAGTATCGCTTAATATAAAACCAAAAATCTCTTTAACGCTTGACACTCTTTTCCCTCAACATAACTTAGATTCACAAACTGGCACATACTATCTTCAAAACATTGCCACATTTCCTCAACATCACCGGCCTATGAATCAATGTCTCCGTCACCTGTCTCCGCGTCATTAACACGCGCCTCATTGAATATTCTCCTCCAGTGTTACGAGCCTCACATCCCGTCTCGTGGTCGTCCCGTCGGCTGTAAACCGGCACCTTCATATAACGTGCCATAACCGAGCCGCCTGCGATACGGACACGTTACGACCACGACGCAAGTAAAGTACGTTTATTTCCATTTCCACACAGTATGGGTAAACTAGTTCCTTGTTGGCGTGTTTCTATTAACATTCTTGTGAATTTTGACGTGGTGAGGTGTTGATTTTGACCATATATAATAGTATTGTTGTATAATCATAATATCCAGCCATTATTTTAGCTAAGTAGGCCTATAATTGCTACCACCTACTGAGTGAAGCATGGGCATCATGGAACCATCCTCCTCTTAACGAAAGATTTCTTTCTTGATGATGATGACGATAATTATTATCAACGTGGGTTTTCCAATCACCCACTATTATCATATTTATATTTACATAAATATGCATATTTACACCATGCCACCATTAATAAAGAAACATCCAAAGTTGCATTGTGTCGTCGAAATATTCTTTCAACGAAAATATTTTCATTTTGCAATTTCACTAAAACCACGATGTAAAAATCCACGGCTATTACTTCCACATCTGCGACAACTAAGCATGTTAACCCATCCAAATTACGGAGCCTGCGTCCACAGCTGTCGCGGAACAAAAGGCGTTACATCTGAATTCGGGCGGATTTAACTGGCGGGCCGAGAATAAGCCGGAATTAAACGTGGTTTATGTTGGTACCGCCTACTGCTGCCTAGCTAGTTATACTCACATTTGTCATCGTCCTGCGTGGACACAGACGAATATTATGAAACAATGAAATATGAGTGAAAAGACACAAATAGAGAAATTAAAAGTACAGAAATTCTCTATTTTTTATGGAATAGGAGGGAAACGAGCAGACGGAGCACCTGATGGTAAGCGATCAGCGCCGCCCATGGACACCCACAACACCAGAGAAGTTACAGGTGCGTTGCCGGCCTTTTAAAAAGGAGTACGCTCTTTTCTTAAAGGTTTGAAGATCGTATCGGTTCGGAAATACCGCCGACGACAGATCATTCCACAGTTTTGCTGTGCGAGGCAGGAAGCTATGAAAGAAGCGCACAGTTGTGGCCTGCCAACCATCTATTTGATGCAAAGTGCTAGGTTTTTCGATTTTACTAATAATATTATTTTGTTAAAGTTTTGTTAAATAAAGCAATTTGTAGGCGGATGGGAGCCACTTTAAAATACAAATGTAATAGTAATATGCAGACAATCTCGATATTGAAGGCTGCACTTCACATAATACGAGTATACTGATAATATTATTGTGAATATATTCCGAGGGACGGGATTTCTCCTCATGACGAGATGTGGCAGTAAGCAAATATGGTCACCAGGCACAACCCGCGGTATCTCTACGTTACACACATTGTAGCTCAATTTTTTTTTATTGTTAATTGTACTGCCTCGTTGGTCGAGTGGCCGCTGACAGACCAACCAAGCTAGTATGTTTCATAATTTAAAACGATTAGTAATTCTACTGACTACCTCGTTGGCCGAGTGGTCGTAAGTGCGACTGCTGGGCAAGGGGTCTCGGGTTCGATTCTCGGGTTGGGCAAAGTATTACTGGGTTTTTTTAAATTCTCAATAGTAGTAAGGAGTCTGGAATTGTGCAATAGGCCCACCCCTTATTACATGGGACTCGTTGCATAAATAGTGAAAAGTGGGTGGTACATTGTACAGTGGCATTAAGTGCCGTAATGTGCACCTTCGCCTACGCCTTCAGGGATAAAAGGCGTGAAGTTATGTTAATAGTATGACGTTTGGCCACCGACTCGCGTAGTGGTGCGCGATGGTGTGCCGGACAATGGAGCACGCCTACCTGTGAGCAACCGACACATTAACCAACTCATCAAACAAATAACTTAACGATTACTTAATTAACCATGAATGTAGTAAATTAATAATTATGATAGTACATTACTTATATTTTTCCCAATTTTTGAAATTGCTCGTGGTTTATAAAATATTAATTGTTTTTGGTTTATAAACAATTAATATTGTTTGACGAGGAACTCGACTAGTTTCAAGTTATGCTAGGGACTCAGCAGCGTGACAGTCGCCGCGTCGCGGATCGCGGAATGATGCTCATGAATACACCGA